ATGGCTAGCTATTGATATTATTTATCCTATTTCAAATAGCAAATGGGTTAATCTTACACAAGTGGTGTGAAAAAAATCAGTGATCACAGTTATAAATAACAAAAATGGGGATGAAATATAAATAAGATTAACTACTAAGTGGAGGGTTTGTATTGATTATAGAAAATTAAATTTAGTTACAACAAAATATTATTTTCCCCTACCATTTATTGATCAAATTCAAGAAACATTAGTTGAAAAAAACTTTGCTTCTTTTCTAGATGGATGCTCTGGTTATAACCCAATTTATATAAATCTTTTAGATCAAGAAAAAATAACTTTCACTTGTCCATTTAGTACTTTTGATTTTAAATGTGTCCCTTTTAGGCTATATAATACTCTAGTCACATTTCAAAGATGTATGCTGTCTATTTTTTCTGATTTGACTGAAAAATATATGGAAACTTTTATGGATGATTTTTATGTTTTTGGTGAATCACTTGACGAATACTTAAGAAATGTATAGAGAAAGAATCAGTTTTGAGTTGGGAAAAATCACATTTTATGGTTAGAGAAGTGGTTGTGTTGGGTCATATTGTGAGTGAAAGGGGTTTAGAGGTGGATAGAAAAAAAATTGATATCAGATCTCAAATAAAACCTTCAAATTCAGTAAAATAGATTAGAACTTTCTTGGGTCATGTAGGTTATTATAAAAAAATTATTTTAAATTTTTCAAAAATTTCTAAACCTCTCACCATGTTATTATCTAAAGATGTGTCTATTAATTTTGATGAGATTATTTAGTCTTTTTCTGAAATAAAAAGATGACTTACTGAGGCACCTATTTACAAGCTCCTTATTGGTTTCTTTCCTTTGAAATAATGTGTGATGCATTGAATTATATAGTGGGAGCCATACTAGGATAAAGAAAAGAGTCAAAACCTATAGTAATTTTATATGCTAGCAAAACTATATCCAATACTCAATTAAATTATACGACTGAAAAGAGTTGTTAGTTGTAATATTTTCATTAGAAAGGCTTAGATCATATATTTTAGGAGCTAAAATTATTATTTATATTAATCATATAATATTAAAATATTTTTTAAATAAGAAAGATGTAAAGTCATGTTTACTAAGATAGATTTTATTCTTGTAGGAATTTAACTTAGAAATAAAAGATAAAAAATATTTTGAGAATGTTGTTGCTGACCATCTTTCTAGATTGAGTGATACAGGAATAAATGTAGCACCTTTATAAGATGCATTTCTAGATAAACAATTGATGGCAGCTCAACATCAACTATCACTATGGTATGCACATATTGTCAATTTTCTGGTTTCAAGAAAAATTCTAGAATAGTGGGATAAGAACAGAAAAAATTATTTATTTTCTAAGGTTAAAAATTATTTTGGCATTATCTTGATTTATATCACTTGGTCAATGATCAAATTTTAAGAAGATGTGTTCTTGAAGGAAAATATTATAGCATTTTTAACATATGTCATTCATCAAACTATGGAGGACATTTCTCTAGACAAAAAACAACTATAAGAAATTTTTAGTATGATTTTTATTGGCCAACAGTTATTAGAGATTCTATAGAATTTAGTAGAACATATGTTTCATGCCAATCTATAGGTAACAAGAGTAAACGAGATGAAATGCCCATGAGTAACATGTTAGTAATTGAAATTTTAGATATATGGGATATAAACTTCATGAGTCCCTCCTCATCAACTGAAAAATATGAATATATTTTCCTTGATGTTGACTATGTGTCTAAGTGGGTGGAAGCTATTTCTATTATAACTAATGATCATAAAATCATGATGAAATTTGTGTAGAAAAATATTTTTTTAAGACTTAGATGTCCTTGAGTGATTATTAATGATGGAGGAACTATTTTATAAATAAATATTTTAGAAAACTATTGAAAAAGAATGATGTACACCACAGAGTAGCCACTCTATATCATTCCCAAATAAATGGGCAAGCTGAAGTAGCAAATAGAGAAATTCAAAGAATTTAGAGAAATATAGTTAGATCAGATAGGAAAGATTGGCCCACAAAATTACAAGATACATTATGGGCCTATAGAATAGCATATAAAAATTCCATAGGTATGTCCTTATTTTGTCTCATTTCTGAAAAACCATGTCATCTTCCTATAAAAAAAGAGCATTAAACATTATGGGCTATAAAAAAATATGTCTAGATGAAAAATCAGCTAATGGACAGAATTTTTCAGCTACATGAACTATAGGAGTTCAGGAATGAAGCTTATGAAAATCATAGAATATATAAAGAAAAAGCTAAAGCCTTTCATATAAATACATTAATAGAAAAAATTTAGATGTTGGACAAAAGGTGTGTGATAAGTTTTCATTATCATAAGTTAATAATTAGTAAATAATATAGTTTTAGCCTTAACTCATGATAAATAGACTTATATTTATGTTAAAGTGTGAAAAGTGGTTTTTAGTTGATTAACGTGAAATTTTGGGTAATTATGTGATTTTATATGATTTTTATAATCTTACTTTTGAGATAAATGAAGAACAAGAAATAAAAATAAAAATATTGCAAAATGGGGGGCCTTAATTTGCAAGAAGTAAAAAATTTTAATTTACCAAAATATACTTTGTTCAATTACGATTCTTCCAACTTTTACAAATCTTAACTTGATTAATTAAATCATCTGTAATCACTTACGTAAGAATCACCGGGCGGAACTCTATTTCTACCCAATTTGTATTCGCTGGGTGTTGATGTCATCCTGATGTCCGCACCCTTATTTCCCTTTTTTGTGAATTTTAAATATATTTCCTTTTCATTTTTAGTATAAAATTCATAGAAAATCGTATTCATTGAAAACAATTCTAAATAATTACAAGATATTATATTACATCCCTATAATCGACTTGAAAAATAACCACTATTTTTGGAATTTTTATTAAATTATAATTGATATATTTGTTCAGAAATACATCTAATATTTGAAAAGTCATATTTTCTAATTTTATAAATTTTAGATTTACGTGATTTAATATACAACGATTGAGTCACGTCAGTGTGGTTATATGATTCTAGGATGAAATTATTCTCAGAAAAATTAAAATCAAAATGGACAGGGCCTTATGTGGTGGAAGAGATATATAATCATAAAGCTATAATGATTCAAGATCCTAAAAGTGATCATAACTTTAAGGTAAATGGACAGTGACTTAAACATTAAATAGAACATGAACGTCTTGTAAAAAATGAAATTTCATTATTAAAAGAAATTCAAGAGTAAGATTAATGTGTTTAGCTGGAGACATTAAACTTAGCGCTACATAAGAGTCAACCTATGATTTTTATTTCATTCTATTTTTTAAAGAATTTCACAATATTTGTTTCTACATTTGTTTTTTAGTTTTTTAAAAAAAAGTGCAAGAGAAGGATGTAAAATCAACTGAAAAATTAAAAGCAAGGTGGAGGTGATGTCTTTCTAAACTTTATCTTTTATGACAACAATTTTAGTGCTTAACTTTGCATATATGCATGTTTCATTTGAAAATTATAATTTTCTACATATTTTGTTCTGATTTTTCTATCATTGAGGACAATGTCATTTTTAAGTTGGGGGTGAAGTATTAAGTCATAATTTATATTGTACAATGATGTGACTTAGTTCTTGTATAGTAAATCATACAAATTTAAAATTTATAAAACTAAAAAATATAAATTTTTGGATATTTAAAAGTATTTCTAAATAAATATATCAATTATAATTCAATAAAACTTCCAAAAATAGTGATAATTTTCCAGGTCAATCACAAGAATGTAATATAATATTAGGTAATTATTCAAAAATTTTATCAAAGAGTACTATTTTCTATAAATTTTATACTAGGAAATAAAAATGAAATATATTTAAAAATCATGAAAAAGGGAAATAAGGGTGCGGATGTCAGGATGACTTTAGCACCCAGTGAATGAGAATCAGGCAAAAATAGAGTTCTGCTCGATGATTCTTATGTAAGTAATTATAGATGATTTAATTGATCAAATTAAAGTCTGTAAAAGTTAGAAGAATTGTAATTGAATGAAGTATAACTTGGTAAATTAAATCACATAAATTATCACTAAATAAAGTAGAAATTAAGTTGAAAGTAGAAAAATAGCATTCCAACATTGCAGCAGTGATGCATCAGTAATACACCAGAGTCTTGAGCATTCAGAAGGATTGTCGTATAGTGTCTATAGCCTCAAAGTCTCTCCTTAGACAAGGATGACGTAGACAATTTCTACATCTCCTTGCTAAGTCTAGAGATCAATGAAATGGTTCGTTAAATTGTTTTCAATGACTATTGACGTGACTCAATCATTGTATATTAAATCACGCAAATATAAAATTTATAAAACTAGAAAATACAAATTTTTGGATATTTTTAGAAGTATTTCTAAATAAATATATCAATTATAATTCAATCAAAACTCCAAAAATAGCGGTAATTTTCCAGGTCGATCACAGGGATGTAATATAATATCTGGTAATTATTCAGAATTTTTCTCAATGAATACAATTTTCTTACGAATTTTATACTAGGAAATAAAAAGGAAATATATTTAAAATTCACGAAAAAAATGGAAATAAGGGTGCGGACGTCAGGATGATGTCAGCACCTGGCGAACGCAAATCAGGCGAAAACAGAGTTCAGCCTGGCGATTCTTACGTAGGCAATTATAGACGACTCAATTAATCAAATTAAGATCTGTAAAAGCTGGAAGAATCGTAATTGAACGAAGTGTAGTTTGGTAAATTAAAATCAGATAAAGTATCACTAAATGAAGTGTAAATTAAATTGAAAGTAGGAAAACAAAGTTCCGACGTCGCGACGGCGATGCGTCGGCAATGCATCGGAATCCTAAGCGTTCGAGAGGATTGTCGTGTAGTGTCCATGGCCTCGAAGGCTCTCCTTGGACAAAGACGATGTGGGCAATCTCTAGATCTTCTCGCGAAGTCTAGAGATCAATGAAGTGGGTCGTCGAATCATCTCCGGTGGCTGTCACCCGACAAAGTGGAAAAACGGCGACTTTGCGGCTCGCCAGCGACTGTCACCCGACGGAGAGGAGCCGGATGGAGGTGGGGCGCGTGTCAGGGAGCTTCATCCTCAGGTCCGCGCAGCAAGAGGAGGCTCTTCATCGCATCTGGTACGCTCTCAAGAGGTGGCGACTGGTCTCCCGACAGATCGTCCTCTTCCCGACGACGACTTGTTCGTCGATCAATCAGAGATGATTTACTCGATGGATTCGCGATCCTTTTATTGCGAATCGTTCAGCAATTTTAGTAGCAATGCTCCGCGAATCGCGTTGACGAGATTTTTGCCGATGATCCAGTGATTCTCGTTGCTTAATCCTTCACCGGCGATTTGCAAGAAAGTCGCAATAATCAAATAAAAATATATGAATTTTGACTCTGGAAGGATTTGAACCCGCATCGGTCGCCCGCCTCTTCTGAGGAAGGTGTGACGGGGGTTTAGTCCCACATCGGTTGTACGCCGATTTTTTGGGCGAATATATAGTAATGTTAGCTTTGTGAGCAAAGTCCCTTCTCTCGCGTGTATGACCACTCCTTGCCCCACAGTCGGCTGGCCACCGGTGACGTGAAAGGGGAGTGGCGTACGTGTGCCTGTCGGTCCCCAAGCCAAGCCGTGAGTAGGGGCTCGAGCGGCTTACTCCCCAACTGTGCTTCCGACCCGCTTGCGGGCACGGTTGGCTGACGGGTCCCTCCATTTTTGCAATATTTTTATTTTTATTTCTTGTTCTTCATTTATCTCAAAAGTAAGACTGTAAAAATCGTATAAAATCACATAATTACCCAAAAATTCACGTTAATCAATTGAAAACCAAAAATTATTCTTTAACACAAATATAAGTCTATTTATCATGAGTTAAGGTTAAAACTATATTATTTACTAATTATTAACTCATGATAATGAAGACTTATCACACCCCCCAACTTAAATCATTGCTAGTCCCTTAGCAATGGAATTACGAAAATAAAATTTTACAAATCTCAAACATCATATTTCAATACAAAAAAAAATATAATTAGAAATGATGCACCGTTAAACACTTTGGATTCTAATCAAATATTTAAGAACGATGCCAAGCACTTAAATGTTTAAGCACTCCTTGGAATAACAATCTAGACTTCACTTCTTCTATTCACATCTTTATCACTTCTTCACTCATAGATGTATTTACAAGATGTTCCAATTATCAATACTCATCCAAGAATAATATTGATCTTACATTTCCCTTTTTCTATAACTTGATTTTTCAAGTTTGCACTATATTTCTTCCTTCTTTTTTTTTTTTTTTATAAATAGTGGATAAGTAGCTTTTCCTGTAGAAAATTTTTGACAATAAGAATGATATCTCACACCCTCCATGTGTACTCTTCATTTTCAGGGCTTTCACTTTATCCACTTATTTTTCAGCAAGTGTTTTTCTATGCACGATTTTCAACAATAAGAATGATGTCTCACACCCTCCATGTGTACTCTTCGTTTCTAGATTTTTCACATTGCTCTCTCTTTTTTTTTTTTCGAAATAAGTGATTTCTCCTCACAAGTCCTATAGATCAGGGTGCAAAAATCTCCATTAAACTCAAATGATCAATCAAATTTTCACATCAAGTAAATACTATTCATCAAGATCATAAAGTGAAAATCTGTAAAATCAAATCCATGTTATCTATCATGTATCCAAGGAGTATTCCAACATTTTATGCTACTAGATCATTCTTTTGACTCAATAATAATCTTCCTAGTATCTTTTGGTCTCAATCAATCTAATTGATTTAATTTTTCATGCATGTAATATGCTGTAAGAAATTTGTAAATTAGATAGTTCTGAAAATTCCATTTTCTGTTTTCAGTTCTATTTTTAGCAGCAATAAATTTGTCAAAAATAAATCAAAACTATCTTCTTTATAGCTGTAAATTCGAATTTCAGTAATATATATCTAGGGGATTGAAATGTGAGAAAAGGGTCTTCTAGAATTTCAAATTTCGGGCTGTTTTTAGTCTGCTGTTTCTGACAGAAAACCAGAAAATAGATGTTGCAATTTTTCCGAGTTTTATTTTATTTTTTATTTTTTTAGTTGCTGTTCTAAGTTGAATAAAATACAAACACATGTTCTTAATCGTCCTACAGCATAAATTAATAATGAATACTTCACCCCCCAACTTAAAAATGACATTGTCCTCAATGACACAGAAAATTCGAAACAGAATATGCAAAAAATATAATTTTCAAGTGAAGCATGCATATCTGCAAAGTTAAGCATTAAAAATATTTTCATAAATGATGAAGCTCCGAAAGACATCACCTCAACCTCGTTTTTACTTTTCCACTTCATCTTACACTCCTATATTTTTTTCAAAAAAAAAAACAAATACAGAAACAAGTACTACGAAATTCTAAGAAAAACAGAGCTTAAAAAAAATCAAACAGAATGAAATAAAAACTATGGGTTGCCTCCCATGCAGCGCTGAATTTAATGTCTCCAGCTGGACAGCTCTTATATCATATAAGATGATCTATGGCCATCAAAATATATTTGTATCCCAAGGTAAGTTTCATGGTATTCTTTTTCAGATTTAGCATAAATTCATATACTTCATATATATACCTTGACATACTTTCAGCCAAAACAAAATGGAAATTAACAATTTTTTCCCAAAAATAATATTTCCATTTTGAAAAGAATCTTTTCTTATTTCTATCTTGTTTTGTTAGGCTCTCATTCATTAATAAATACTTTCTATTCATAAACCATAAAATGTGATCAGGCCATATAATTTTCAGATTAGCTCTTGCCCAATCTAAAATTTTTTCATCTAAATTGGTATCTCTAATTCTTCCACTCACCCATTTCTTAATGTCTTCTTTTATCTGCATAATCTTCCCCTGCTCCATTTTATCTTCCATACATATTTGTTCAATTTGGGAGGAGTGAAATATTTCAAGCTTAGAAATAATTCTAATGGGCTGTGGGTTTTGAAGGATGGAAGGATTGTCTTCTTTAATCTCAGATCTAATGAATTCAGTAAAATTCAAATTTTCTCCTCCAAAATTATCTCTATATTCATATCTATTATTTTCGCTTGTTCCCATTAGTTGAATCAATTCTTTTTCTAGCTTTTCGTTTCTCAACTCATCAAATTCTTCATCTTCCCAAGAGCTATCTTTTAATTTTGGTATATGATATACATCATCATTCTCACAATCAACATCCATGGCTGCAAAATTATGATTAGATTCATTAATTTCGTCTCCTACATCTCCCAAATCAATTGATTTTTCCTCACCTGAAATATATTTTTCTTCATTTCTGTCCTTACTCCCTTCTACTAAAATTTGGATGATTTTTCTATGATCAGTTGTTGTTTCTTCAGCTAAGGGTTCTTTCTCTTCATCATCCTCACTATATTCATTCATCAAGTGTGAGCAATAAATGATTTTATTCAAATTTTCTGCTACTATATTTTTGGCCTTAATATTCTCATTTATTTCTAATTGATCATCAATTTCTTCTAATAATTAGAAATAAGGATCAGGTAAAATATTCTCACTCAATATATTCACTGTCCTAATATTTTCATTTCGTGGGTTTTTTTCTAAATTTATCCAGCTAGACTCTTCTTGCTGAAATCTTACTGTTGGATAGTTTTCTGAATTTTCTATGGGCTGACTAGGTAGCTCTCCCTCTTCTCTCTTATTCTTAAGAGCCTCTATAATTTGTTTCTGATGAAGCATCATTTGATTCATAGTTTGTTGCATCATTTGGCTCATTTGCTGCATCATTTCCATAGCATCAGGTTGGGTTTGAGATGGCTAATTTTTCTGAAATCTATTTTCTTGTTTTGGACGAAATTCAGAGTTTGAATTGGGTCTAAGTGCTTCTGGATTTTGAATATTATTTGGGTCTCTCCATGAAAAATTATTCCTCCAATTAGGATTATAAGAATTTGAAAAATGTTCCCTATTTCTATAAAAACCGTGAGCTACTTGCACTTGTTCTTGCATAGGGTGAAATGATTGATCTAAATTATAACATTGAAATTCAGAACAATCATTTTCACCATACATAGGACATGTACTATTTGAATTAAGTTGAGGGTTAAAAGACTTTCTAATATTATCAATAAGTAAATCATTTTTTTCTAATCTTTGATTAATCTGATTAACCTCATTTCTAAGTTTAGAATCATCATCATGATGCAATTCATAAATTCCTCTCTTCTTATCCCTGTCATATAATTCAAAAGAGGCTTGATCTCTAGAATTTTTACTTAAATTCTCATAAAGATTGTAAATCTCATCAGGAGTTTTCTCCATAAAAGCTCCTCCATATATAGAATCAACCATATTTCTATGTTGTTCTAATAATCCATCATAAAAAACTCTATTGAGCTGCCACTTGGGTATAGCATGATGAGGACACTTTCTAAGTAAATCCTTAAATTTTTCCCATGTCTCATGCAAAGTTTCTCCTGGTCTTTGAGAAAAACTCCATATATGTTTTCTCATATTTTGAGTTTTTCCTAAGGGATAAAATTTTCGAAGAAAGGCCTGTTGTATATCTTTCCAGCTAGTTAATTCTCTATCTAATGTGGATAGCCAATGACTAGCTTTGTCCCTAAGTGTATGAGGGAATAATTTCATCTTAATAATTTCCGATGTAACTTGAGGCAGATTAACTAAATCACAGACCATATGAAATTTTTCTAAGTGCTGATGAGGTTCCTCTAAAGACAATCCATGAAAATTAAAGAGCATTTGAAAAATTCCTAGATTTATTTCGCATTTAACAGTGGGTGCTAATGGGACTCTAATATTAGATGCTCTTTGAAATGAATCAGGGATATAATGATTTTTCATGGCCATAGGATTGTTCTCAGTTTGACCTGTACTTCCTTCAGGATCCATCAAAATTAATTTTTCTTTCGGATTTTTATTTTTGAATAAAATAATGAAAGGATTTTCTAGCCTTGGATGCAAGGATCTTCTACCATGCATAAAAATCAATAAATTCGAGGGAAAAAGTTAGTATTTTTTACCCTCCTTCAGGATGCTCCAGTCCTTGCAGTGCTTCTTTTCGTTCCCTTTTTCTAATAAAAATCGGCAAAAAGAAAATAAAACAAGAGTAAAGTGTTTTTTGTGTACTCTAAGAGAAAAACATAAAAATACTAAATATTATGCAATACATCCCCGGCAATGGCGCCAAAATTTGACGTGACTCAGTCGTTGTATATTAAATCACACAAATATAAAATTTATAAAACTAGAAAATACGAATTTTTGGATATTTAGAAGTATTTCTAAATAAATATATCAATTATAATTCAATAAAAATTCCAAAAATAGTGGTAATTTTCTAGATCAATCATAGGGATGTAATATAATATCTGGTAATTATTCAGAATTTTTCTCAATGAATTCGATTTTCTTACGAATTTTATACTAGGAAATAAAAAGGAAATATATTTAAAATTCACGAAAAAAAAGGAAATAAGGGTGCGGACGTCAAGATGACGTCAGTGCCCGGCGAACGCAAATCAAGCAGAAACAGAGTTCAGCCTGGTGATTCTTACGTAGGCGATTACAGATGACTCAATTAATCAAATTAAGATCTGTAAAAGCCGGAAGAATCGTAATTGAACGAAGTATAGTTTGGTAAATTAAAATCACACAAAGTATCACTAAATGAAGTGTAAATTAAATTGAAAGCAGGAAAAAAGAGTTCTGGCGTCGCGATAGCAATGCATCAGCGATGCACCAGAATACTGAGCGTTTAGGAGGATTGTCATGTAGTGTCCACAGCCTCGAAGGCTCTCCTTGGACAAAGACGATGTGGGCAATCTCTAGATTTTCTTGCGAAGTCTAGAGATCAATGAAGTGGGTCGTCGAATCGTCTCCGGCGGCTGTCACCCAGCAGAGCGGAAAAACGGCGACTTTGCGGCTCTCCGATGGTTGTCACCCGATGGAGAGGAGCTGGATGGAGGTGGGGCGCATGTCAGGGAGCTTCATCCTTAGGTCCGCGCAGCAAGAGGAGGCTCTTCATCGCATCTGGTACGCTCTCAGGAGGTGGCGACTGGTCTCCCGGCGGATCATCCTCTTCTCGACGACGGCTTGTTCGTCAATCAATCGGAGACGATTTACTCGATGGATTCGCAATCCTTTTATCGCGAATTGTTCAGCAATTTTAGTAGCAATGCTCCACGAATCACATTGACGAGATTTTCGCCGATGATCCAGCGATTCTTGTTGCTTAATCCTTCCCGGGCGGTCTGCAGGAAAGTCGTGATAATCAAATAAAAATATATGAATTTTGACTCTAGAAGGATTTGAACCCGCGCCAGTCGCTTGCCTCTTCTGAGGAAGGTGTGACGAGGGTTTAGTCCCACATCGGTTGTATGCCAATTTTTCGGGTGAATATATAGTAATGTTAGCTTTGTGAGCAAAGTCCCTTCTCTTGCGTGTATGACCACTCCTTGCCCCACAACCGGCTGGCCACCGGTGACGTGAAAGGGGAGTGGCGTACGTGTGCCTGTCGGTCCCCAAGCCAAGCCACGAGCAGGGGCTCAAGCGGCTTACTCCCCGACTGCACTTCTGACCCGCTTGTGGGCACGGTTGGCTGACGGGTCCCCCCTTTTTTGTAATATTTTTATTTTTATTTCTTGTTCTTCATTTATCTCAAAAGCAAGACTGTAAAAATCGTATAAAATCACATAATTACCCAAAAATTCACGTTAATAAATTAAAAACCAAGAATCATTCTTTAACACAAATATAAGTCTATTTATCATGAGTTAAGGCTAAAACTATATTATTTACTAATTATTAACTCATGATAATGAAGACTTAACAGCTATCACTAGGCGGAGCAGAAAAATGACAACTTTGTGGCTCTCTAGCAGCTATCACCTAACGAAGATGAGCTATATGGAGGTGGGGCATGTGTTAGGGAGCTTCATCCTTGGTCCGTGCAACAAGAGGAAGCTCTTCATCACATCTAGTATGCTCTTAGGAGGTGGCAACTCGTGTTCAATTGGATCACCCTCTTTCTGATGATGGCTTATTCGTCAATCAATCAAAGATCCTTTGCTCAATAGATTTGTGATCTTTCTATCGTGAATTATTCGACCATTTTAGTAACAATGCTCCACAAATGGCATTGACAAGATTTTCATCAATGATCTAATGATTTTGGTGGCTTAATCCTTCACAAGTGATCTCCAGGAAAGTCATGATAATCAAATAAAAAATATGAGTTTTGGCTTTGAAAGGGTTCAAACCTACGTCGGTTGTCTACTTGCATAAGAGAGATTGAAATAAGTACTATAATGCCCTTATAAAATAACATTATTATGGTATATCTCTATTATAAATAAAAATTATTATAAGTATTAAAATCATTGAAGCTTTTTGAAGGAAGGTGTGATGCGGGTTTAGTCCCACATCACTTGTGTGCCGAAATTTTAGGCAAATATATAGTAATATTATATTTATAAGTAAGTCTCTTTCTCCCACATGTACGACCACTCCTTGTCTCACATACGACTAGCCACTAGTGATGTGAAAAGGGAGTGACGCAGACATGCCTCTATTGGTCTTAGCCATTTGAACCTCTACTTGCAGCTCCTCCTTGACTGCTTCCGACCCGCTTGTGGGCCCAGCTAGCCGATGGGTCCCCCCCACTTTGCTATATTTTTATTTTTATTTCTTTTTCTTTATTTATCTAAAAAATAAAACTATAAAAATTATATAAATTCTTAGAAAATCACATAATTAGCCAAAAATTCATGTTAATCAATTGAAAACCACTTCACACTCTAACACAAATATAAGTCTATTTATCATGAGTTAAGGCTAAAACTATATTATTTACTAATTATTAACTCATGATAATGAAGACTTATCATATGACAATTAAGAATATGTGTTTGTATTTGTTTTCATACTTTCTTAGAAAAGTAACTAAAAAAATTCAGAAAAACTATAACATTTATTTTATTTTCAAAGACGTTCAAAAATAGTAATGAAAAAATAACCTAAAATTAGAAATTCTAGAAAACTTTTTCTCACATTTCAATCTTCTAGACATATATTACTGAAATTACAAGTTACAACTATAAAGAGGATAGTTTTGATTTATGTTTGGCAAAAGTCATTGTTGCTGAAAACAGAACTAAAAATAGAAAGCAGAATTGTCAAAACTATCTAATTTTCAAATTTTTTTACATTATATTGCATGCATGAAAAATTAAATCAATTAAATTGATTGATATGAAGAGATACCAAGAAGATTATTATTGAGTTAAAAGAATCATTTAGTAACATGAAATGTTGGAATACTCTTTAAGTACATGCTAAAGAACATAGATTTGATTTTATAGATTTTCACTTCATCATCTTGATGGATAGTATTTACTTAATATGAAATTTTGATTGATAATTTGAGTTTAATAGAGATTTTTACAACCTGATCTATAAGATGTGAAGAGAAATCATTAATTTTAAAAAAAAAGTAATATGAAAAATTTGAAAATAAAGAGTACACATAGAGGATGTGAGACCTGATGCACCTTTAGACATTTTGGATTCTCATAGCAAGTATTTAAGAATAATGTCAAGCACTTAAATTTTTAAACACTCCTTGGAATAATAATCTAGACTTCACTTCTTCTATTCACATCTTTATCACTTTTTCACTCATAAATGTATTTACAAGATGTTCTAATTATCAATACTCATCCAAAAATAATATTGATCCTACATTTCTCTTTTTCTATGACTTGATTTTTGAAGTTTGTACTATATTTCTTTCTTCTTTATTTTTTTATATATATATACAGTGGATAAGTAGCTTTTCCTGTAGACAAATTTTGACAATAAGAATGATGTCTCACACCATCCATGTGTACTCTTCATTTTCAAGTCTTTCACTTTATCCACTTATTTTGCAGTAAGTATTTTTCTATACACGATTTTCAACAATGAGAATGATGTCTCACACCCTTCTGTGTGTACTCTTCGTTTCTAAATTTTTCACATTACTCTCTCTTTTTTTTTTGAAATAAGTGATTTCTCCTCACAAGTCCTATAGATCAGGGTGCAAAAATCTCCATTAAACTCAAATGATCAATCAAATTTTCTCATCAAGTACTATACATCAAGATCAAGAAGTGAAAATCTATAAAATCAAATCCATGTTATCTATCATGTATCCAAGGAGTATTCCAACATTTCATTCTTTTGACTCAATAATAATCTTCCTAGTATCTATTTGGTATCAATCAATCTAATTGATTTAATTTTTCATGCATGTAATATGATGTAAGAAATTTTTAAATAAGATAGTTTTGATAGTTCTATTTCCTATTTTCAGTTCTATTTTTAGCTGCAACAAATTTGTCAAAAATAAATCAAAACTATCCTCTTTATAGCTGTAATTTTGAATTTCAATAATATATATCTAGGGGATTGAAATGTGAGAAAAGGGTCCTCTAGAATTTCAAATTTCAGGTTGTTTTTTGTCTCTTATTTTTGATAGTCTATTGTTTATGAAAAAAACTAGAAAATAGATGTTGCAGTTTCTCTAAATTTTATTTTATTTTTATTTTTTTAGTTGCTGTTCTAAGTTGAATAAAATGCAAACACATGCTCTTAATCATTCTACAACATAAATTAATAATGAATACTTCACCCCCCAACTTAAAAATGACATTGTCCTCAATGACACAGAAAATCAAAATAGAATATGTAGAAAATATAATTTTCAAGTGAAGCATGCATATTTGTAAAGTTAAGCATTAAAAATATTTTCAAAAATGATAAAGCTCAGAAAGACATCACCTCAACCTCGTCTTTAATTTTCCACTTCATCTTACACCCCTTCTCCTGCACTTTTTCAAAAAAAACAAATACATAAATGACGTGACTCAGTCGTTGTATATTAAATCACGCAAATATTAAATTTATAGAACTAGAAAATACGAATTTTTGGATATTTAGAAGTATTTCTAAATAAATATATCAATTATAATTCAATAAAAATTCCAAAAATAGCAGTAATTTTCTAGGTCAATCACAGGATGTAATATAATATCTGATAATTATTCAGAATTTTTCTCAATGAATACGAGTTTCTTACGAATTTTATACTAGGAAATAAAAAGGAAATAAGGGTGCGGGCGTCAGGATGACGTCAGCGCCGGTGAACGCGAATCAGGCAGAAACAGAGTTCCGCCTAGTGATTCTTACGTAAGCGATTACAGATGACTTAATTTATCAAATTAAAATCTGTAAAAGCTGGAAGAATCGTAATTGAATGAAGTATAGTTTGGTAAATTAAAATCACACAAAGTATCACTAAATGAAGCGTAAATTAAATTGAAAGTAGGAAAACAGAGTTCCGGCATTGCGACGGCGATGCGTCGGCGATGCACCGGAATCTTGAGTGTTCGGGAGGATCGTCGTGCAGTGTCCACGGCCTCAAAGGCTCTCCTTGGACAAAGACAATGTGGGCAATCTCTAGATCTTCTCGCGAAGTCTAGAGATCAATGAAGTGGGTCGTCGAATCATCTCCGGCGGCTGTCACCTGACGGAGAGGAGCTGGATGGAGGTAAGGTGCGTGTTAGGGAGCTTCATCCTCAAGTCCGCGCAGCAAGAGGAGGCTCTTCATCACATCTAGTACGCTCTCAAGAGGTAGCGACTGGTCTCCCGGCGGATCGTCCTCTTCCCGACAACGGCTTGTTCGTCGATCAATCGGAGATGATTTACTCGATAGATTCACGATCCTTTTATTGCAAATCGTTCAGCAATTTTAGTAGCAATGCTCCGCGAATCGCATTGACGAGATTTTCGCCGATGATCCAGCGATTCTCGTTGCTTAATCCTTCACCGGCGATCTGCAGGAAAGTCGCGATAATCAGATAAAAATATATGAATTTTGACTCTGGGAGGATTCGAACCCGCGCCGGTTGCCCCGCCTCTTCTGAGGAAGGTGTGCGGGGGTTTAGTCCCACATCAGTTGTAAGCCGAGTTTTCGGGTGAATATATAGTAATGTTAGCTTTGTGAACAAAGTCACTTCTCTCGCGTGTACGACCACTCCTTGCCCCACAGCCGGCTGGTCACCAGTGACGTGGAAGGGGAGTGGCAAATGCGCGTGCCCTGTTGGTCCCCAAGCCAAGCCGCGAGCAGGGGCTCGAGCGGCTTACTCCCCAACTGCGCTTCCGACCCGCTTGCAGGCCTGACTGGCCAGCGGATTCCCCCATTTTTGCAATATTTTTATTTTTATTTGTTCTTCAATTATCTCAAAAGTAAGACTGTAAAAATCGTATAAAATCACATAATTACCCAAAAATTCACGTTAATCAATTGAAAACCAAAAATCATTCTTTAACACAAATATAAGTTTATTTATCATGAGTTAAGGCTAAAACTATATTATTTACTAATTATTAACTCATGATAATGAAGACTTATCAATAAACAAGTACTATGAAATTCTAAGAAAAATAGAGCTTAAAAAAAATCAAACAGAATAAATAAAAACCATGGGTTGTTTCCCATGCAGCGCTGAATTTAATGTCTTCAGCTAGACAACTCTTAGATCATATAAGATGATCTATGGCCATCAAAATATATTTGTATCCCAAGGTAAGTTTCATGATATTCTTTTTCAGATTTAGCATAAATTTATATACTTCATATATATACCTTGGCATACTTTTAGCCAAAACAAAATGGAAATTAACAAAAAAAATTCCCAAAAATAATATTTTCATTTTGGAAAGAATCTTTTCTTATTTCTATCTTGTTTTGTAAGGCTCTCATTCATTAATAAATACTTTCTATTAATAGACCATAAAATGTGATTAGGCCATACAATTTTTGAATTAGCTCTTACCCAATCTAATTGTTTTTCATCTAAATTGATATCTCTAATTCTTCCATTCATCCATTCATCCATTTCTTAATGTCTTCTTTTATTTGCATAATCTTCCCCTACTCTATTTTATCTTCTATACATATTTGTTCCATTTGTGAGGAGTAAAATATTTCAAGCTTAAAAGTAATTCTAATGGGCTGTGGGTTTTGAAGGATGGAAGGATTGCCTTCTTTAATCTCAGATCTAATGAATTCAGTAAAATTCAAATTTTCTCCTCTAAAATTATCTCTATATTCATATCCATTATTTTCGTTTCTCCCCATTAGTTGAATCAACTCTTTTTCTAGCTTTTTGTTTCTCAACTCATCAAATTCTTCATCTTCCCAAGAGCTATCTTTTAATTTTGGTATATGATATACATCATCATTCTCACAATCAACATCCATGGCTGCAAAATTATGATTAGACTCATTAATTTTGTCTCCTACGTCTCCCAAATCAGCTAATTTTTCCTCACCTGAAATATGTTCTTCTTCATTTCTGTCTTTACTCCCTTCTACTAAAATTTAAATGATTTTTTCATGATCAGCTACTATTTCTTCATCTAAGGGCTCTTTCTCCTCATCATCCTCACTATATTCATTCATCAATTGTGAGCAATAAATGATTTTATTCAAGTTTTCTGCTACTATATTTTCGGCCTTAATATTCTTATTTACTTCTAATGGATCATCAATTTCTTCTAATAATTAGAAATAAGGATCAAGTAAAATATTCTCACTCAATGTATTCACTATCCTAACATTTTCATTTCGTGGATTTTTTTCTAAATTTATCCAACTAGACTCTTCTTGCTGAAATCCTATTGTTAGATAGTTTCTTGAATTTTCTATGGGCTGACTAGGTAGCTGTCCCTCTTCTCTCTTATCTCCAAGAGCTTCTATAATTTATTTCTGGTGCAGCATCATTTGATTCATAATTTGTTGCATCATTTGGCTCATTTGCTGCATCATTTCCATATCATCAGGTTGGATTTGAGAGGACTGATTTTTCTGAAATCTATGTTCCTATTTTGGACGAAATTTAAAATGTGAATTGGATCTAAGTGTGTCTGAATTTTGAATATTATTTGGGTTTCTCCATGAAAAATTATTCCCCCAATTAGGATTATAAGAATTAGAAAAATATTCTCTATTTTTACTAAAATTGTGGGGTACCTACAGTTATTCTTCCCTATGATGATATTGAAATTCGAAATGATCATTTTCACCCTACATAAGACATGTACTATTTGAATTAAATTGAGGGTTAAGAGGCTTTCTAATATTGTCAATAAGTAAATTAATTTTTTCTAATTTTGATTAATATGATTAACCTCATTTTTAAGTTTAGAATCATCATCATGATGCAATTCATAAATTATTCTCTTCTTGTCCTTGTCATATAATTCAAAAGAGGCTTAATCTCTAGAATTTTCTCTTAAATTCTCATAAAGACTGTAAATCTCATTAGGAGTTTTCTCCATAAAAGCTCCTCCATATATAGAGTCAACCATATTTCTATGTTGTTCTAATAATCCATCATAAAAAATTCTATTGAGCTGCCACTTGGGTATAACATGATGAGAACACTTTCTTAGTAAATCTTTGAATATTTCTCATGTCTCATGTAAAGTTTCTCTTGGTCTTTGAGAAAAACTCCATATATGTTTTCTCATATTTTGAGTTTTTCCTAAGGGATAAAATTTTTGAAGAAAAGCCTGTTCTATGTCTTTCCAGCTAGTTAATTCTCTATCTAATGTGGATAGCCAATGACTAGCTTTGTCCCTAAGTATATGAGAGAATAATTTCATCTTATTAATTTTCGGTGTAACTTGAGGAAGATTAACTAAATCACAGACCATATGAAATTTTGAAATGATGAGGTTCCTCTAAAGGCAATCTATGAAAATTAGGGAGTATTTGAAAATTTTTTAGATTTATTTCGAATCTAACAGTGGGTGCTAATGGAACTCTAATATTGGATGCTCTTTGAAATGAATACGGGATACAATAATTTTTCATAGCCATAGGATTGTTCTCAGTTTGACCTGTACTTCCTTCAGGATCCATCAAAATTAATTTTTCTTTCAGATTTTTATTTTTGAATGAAATAATGAAAGGATTTTCTAGCCTTGGATGCAAGGATCTTCTACCATGCATAAAAATCAATAAATTTGAAGGAAAAAGTTAGTAATTGTTACCCTCCTTCAGGATGCTCCAGTCCTTGCCTTACTTCTTTTCATTTTCTTTTTCTAAAAAAATCAGTAAAAAGAAAATAAAATAAAAGTTCAATTTTTTTGTGTACTCTAAGAGAAAAATAGAAAAATACTAAATATTATGCAATACATCCTCAACAACAGCACCAAAATTTGACATAACTCAGTCATTGTATATTAAATTTATAAAACTAGAAAATATAAATTTTTGGATATTTAAAAGTATTTCTGAATAAATATATCAATTATAATTCAATAAAACTTCCAAAAATAGCAATTTTTCAAATCAATCATAGAGATGTAATATAATATCTGGTAATTATTCAGAATTTTTCTCAATGAATATAATTTTCTATGAATTTTATACTAGGAAATAAAAAGGAAATATATTTAAAATTCATAAAAAAGAAAAATAAGGGTGCAGATGTTAGGATGACATCAACACTTGACAAACGTGAATCAACGAGAAATAAAGTTCTGCCTAGTGATTCTTACGTAAGTGATTACAAATGGTTTAATTGATCAAATTAAGATCTATAAATACTAGAAGAATCGTAATAGAACAAAGTATATTTTGGTAAATTAAAATCACAAAAACTCTCACTAAATGAAACGTAAAGTAAGTCAAAAGCAGGAAAAAAGAGTTCTAGCATCGCGACAGTAATATGTCAGTGATGCACTAGAATCTTGAGTGTTTGAGAGGATCGATGCGTAGTGTCCACAGCCTCGAAGGCTCTCTTTGGACAAAGACGACGTGGGCAATCTTTTGATCTTCTCGCAAAGTCTAGAGATTAATGAAATGGGTCATCGAGTCATCTCTAGCGGCTGTCACCAGATGGAGTAGAAAAACGATAGCTTTATAGCTCTTCGACGGCTGTCACCCAACGGAGAGGAGCTGGATGGAGGTGGGGCACATGTCAGGGAGCTTCATCCTCAAGTTTGCGCAGCAAGAGGAGGCTCTTCATCGCATCTGGTATTTTTATCTGATTATCGCGACTTTCCTGCAGATCGCCGGTGAAGGATTAAGCAACAAGAATCGCTAGATCATTGGCGAAAATCTCGTCAACGCGATTCGCGGAGCATTGCTACTAAAATTGCTGAATGATTCGCGATAAAAGGATCGCGAATCCATCGAGTAAATCATCTTCGATTGATCGACGAACAAGCCGTCGTCGGGAAGAGGACGATCCGCTGGGAGACTAGTCACCACCTCCTGAGAGTGCACCAGATGCGATGAAGAGCCTCCTCTTGCTGTGCGGACCTGAGGATGAAGCTCCCTAACATGCGCCCCACCTCCATCTAGCTCCTCTCCGTTGGGTGACGGCCGCCGAAGAGCCGCAAAGTCGCCGTTTTTCCGCTCCACCGGGTGACAGCCACCGGAGACGATTCGACGACCCACTTTATTGATCTCTAGACTTCGCGAGAAGATCTAGAGATTGCCCACGTCGTCTTTGTCCAAGGAGAGCCTTCGAGGCCGTGGACACTGCACGACGATCCTCCCGAATGCTCAGGATTTCAGTGCATCGCCGACGCATCATCGTCGCAACGCCGGAACTCTATTTTTCCTACTTTCAATTTAATTTACGCTTCATTTAGTGATACTTTGTGTGATTTTAATTCACCAAACTATACTTCGTTCAATTACGATTCTTCTGGCTTTTACGGATCTTAATTTGATTAATTAAGTCGTCTGTAATCGCTTACATAAGAATCGCCGGGCGGAACTTTGTTTCCGCCTGATTCGTGTTCACCGGGCGCTGACGTCATCCTGACACCCGCACCCTTAT